TTGTAACCAACAAGTTTATTATTGTGTTTTTTTTTTTATCTCTATGTTTAATATATAAATTCTCGTATGAAAAAAAAAAGAAAAGAAAAAAGAGTCAAACAAGTTTTAACCAAAGCAGCATGGTTAGTGAGGGCACATACAGCACCGCACTTCCTTCCAACTGTAGGAAATCCCTCTGGAACAACAGGATTCACAAACGCAGAACCGAAAACTGACTTTACTAAGGAGGACAAGTTTTCTGCGCGTCGTTGAGTTTGGTGGCTTTCCTCCTTGAACAATCCCCTCCAACGCTCGCGATTACTCCCACGTCATCCTCTTCTTCCCCTCGTTTTCTCCGCCCCTTCTCTCCTATATTACTCCCAACCCCTTCCTTCCCCTCGTCATTTCCCTTCTCCCCATTCATTGAGTTCAGGGTTAGGGACAAGTCATGGCTACGGCTTTCTCTACTGCCAAGTTCGGCACCCAGCTTTTTCCCTTGGGCACCACCTCCTCCAGATCTCACCAAAAGCCTGTCTTTGATCCTCTCAAGACCCCCGCCTGCTCTTTTCTCGGATCCACTTGTAAACTCCGCCTCACTCCTGCTTCCAAATTGAATCAAGTCAATTCCCACCGTCGATCTCCTGTCGTTGCTGTGTCTGATGTCGTTAAGGAAAAGAAGACTAAATCTGCCTCCAATCTGGTATTCTTCTCAAACCCTTTTATCTCTTTTTAAATGCCGTTGTTTTGCTTTGGATTTTTATTTTGTTTATTTTCTGAAAGTTTTGTTCTTTATTCTCTTTAATGCATTTGGAAGCTCAAATGGGAACAAATTACAACTGTCTTTAAGCTTAATTCGGGTGTCTTGCCTTAGTTTTGTTTGTATGAACCAAGATATTAGATTTATGGTTCTTTTTGGGTAGATTTTATTATTTAGTGATGAAGTTTGTGATTACCTTAGTTGAAAAGCTGTTGCTATAAATATTGAGTTTTTTATGCTTTCGTGGGATGACAGTTTCTGGGGTGAATTTTATGCTAAGATTTTGGCTTCTACTTATTGTTGAGCATTGTATCCAGTTGATCACCAAGGAGGAATGCTTGGAGCTTTATGAAGATTTGATTTTGGGGAGAGCATTTGAGGACATGTGCGCTCAGATGTACTACAGGGGAAAGATGTTTGGCTTTGTTCACCTGTACAATGGTCAAGAGGCTGTTTCAACCGGCTTTATTAAGCTCTTGAAGAAAGAGGACAGTGTGGTCAGCACATACCGTGATCATGTGCATGCCCTGAGTAAGGGTGTCTCTGCTCGTGCTGTGATGAGTGAGCTTTTTGGTAAGACCACTGGGTGCTGCAGAGGCCAAGGTGGGTCTATGCATATGTTTTCCAAGGAACACAATTTGCTTGGTGGGTTTGCATTTATTGGAGAGGGAATTCCTGTAGCCACAGGTGCTGCATTCACATCCAAGTACAGGAGAGAGGTCTTGAAGGAGGCAGATTGTGATCATGTAACATTGGCATTTTTTGGGGATGGAACTTGTAACAATGGTCAGTTCTTTGAGTGTTTGAACATGGCAGCACTATGGAAGTTGCCAATTGTGTTTGTTGTGGAGAATAATTTGTGGGCCATTGGGATGTCTCATCTGAGGGCAACTTCTGATCCTCAGATTTATAAGAAGGGGCCAGCATTTGGAATGCCTGGGATTTATGTTGATGGAATGGACGTTTTGAAAGTGAGGGAGGTGGCAAAGACAGCAATTGAAAGGGCTAGAAGAGGAGAAGGTCCAACATTGGTGGAATGTGAGACTTATAGGTTTAGGGGACACTCATTGGCGGACCCTGATGAGCTTCGTGATCCTGGTAAGCATTTGATTTTTGTTTGGTTTGCTTTTCATTAATTATCAATATAATGATTCAAAATGAAGATGATTTTTCCTCTCTTAAAAAATTATGTAATCCCAACTAGCTCTTTTTTTCTTTTTTTTCATTACTGAGTTGTTGCTGCACAATTTCTGATGACATAAACCACATCAGCACATAGACAATGAATTGTTTATACTGGAAAATGTCTTGATGTTTTGGGTCGTAAACTTCTTTGTTACATGAAAATTCCTCTTTACTTCAGCTCATTAAAGTTATGTTTTGGAACTGGAGGAATGGGTTTTCAGTTTCTTGGGTGACCAACAAGGTGGAGGGAGGTTGTAGTTTCAGTTTATCTTTTTATTATAAATACCTTCAGAGTTTGTAAAATGCACTCTCAAGTCAAATTTTGGTTCTGTTTTGGCAGCTGAGAAAGCTCACTATACTGCTAGAGATCCAATTACTGCCTTGAAGAAGTACATTATTGAGAACAAGCTGGCCAGTGAAGCTGATTTGAAGGCCGTAGATAAGAAGATAGAGGAGGTAGTGGAGGATGCTGTTGAGTTTGCAGATGAAAGTCCTCATCCACCACGGAGCCAGCTACTCGAAAATGTGTTTGCAGATCCAAAGGGTTTTGGAATTGGACCTGATGGCCGATACAGATGTGAGGATCCAAAGTTCACAGAAGGCACTGCTCAGGTCTAACTTTGACCTCTTGCCATCCTATTTGTGCTTGCTTTTAGTTATAATAATCATATTTATTCAAGTGTAGTGTTCACTCATATAAGCAGTTTTTGTTCTTTACACCGGTTCTGTATTTCAGTTTTTGGGTTCCTAATTTTCACTTTTGTGAGTTACTGGGACATGAATTTTGAATTTTCAGCGGCAGACCCCAAAAGGTTGGTTGGCCATGTTTTGCAGTGCTCTACTTTTCTCAGTTTTCTTATTGCAAATCAGTATTCATTGGACTTCCATTCATAAACTGATATTGCCTACCATTTACTCCTGCCATTGTCCATTTGGTTTGGTATCCCATTGTGCTTTGCTTTTTTCTATTACAAAAACAGGAGCCGAAGCTTGGCTAAACAAAATTTACGTAACAGCTTTTCTGGATTTTTCTCAATAGGAGTTGATGGGTTAGCACTTCCTGTTTTTGTTTTCTGCTTCCAGGGGCTTTCATTCTGGTCTTTGCAATGGATCTTTGTTTTAACATATTCTTTCTTCTTCTGGTCTCTCTCCTTTTTTTTTCCTAATTTGATTTATAGGTTGATTTCATGGCTTTATTTAGCAAATGGATGACAATTATAGATATATTTTTTTCATCAAATGAGACTACTATTCAACAAGAACTACGAAATATAAAAATTAAATTGCCATTTATACATCTATAATATAAAAATATCTGATCAAACCACATAAAAAGTAAGAATTATCTTTCTTGTCTAGAATATATCCCCAGTCGTTTTCTGTAGTCTAAACTTTTTATTACCATGCGGCTACTTTAGTTTCTAAATGGCTTTCAACCCTCAAGGCGATAAATTTAGATATTGGAATTAAAATAGTAAGATTTCTTGCTAGTTGAGCACCGGAGGGGGCCAGAGGTTTTGTTCAGAATGAGTTCCTGAATTTTTCAAAGTTCTCAACAGACTCACCTTTCATATCTGTGTCTAACAAGATCGAAACCCCCAATAAATACCTCGACAGCAAAGAATCACAAGGCTCTAAACCAAACAAATCTAGTACAAATATACCTCACAGAATCAGTGGCCATCCCAAGATACGGGGAATGAAGACATTAGTACTGATTACTGACCCAAGTTCTCCCCTTAATTACAAAATCCAGGCTTGATTCTGTAGATTATAAGAGATCAAACAACTCATGTATCTGCAGAAGTAATTTTCTATCTTGTAAGTAATCATGTAACTATAGGACAGAGCGACGAAAGAATATTACAGTAAGAGCTTACATTGGCTATGCCGAACTGGACATTAACTCACATAAAAATAAAAAAATAAGAAGAGGAAGTGGAGCATTGGCTATATGGGTAGAATCTTTGGCTCCAACTCTTATGATAGGGAGAGAAAAAAAAATAAAGAATACTGAAAAACGGTAGGATTACAACTTCAATGCGGCAATTGCTTCAGGTTTGAAATCAACCCTTAAGCCTAATACTCTCCTAACCTCTGCAGGGGTTAATCTCCAGGTCATAGGTCCTGAGTTCTCACCCCAGAAATCCAGAATCTCAGAAACCTTTTCCAAATTGAGGATGGTTGCCATCTGAGTAAGACGGGCAAATTTGTCCCTAACAGTCCTCTGAGTCATGCCAGAGAAATGACTTACCAGAACTCGTGTCTCTGTCAAGCTGAAGCCCTCCAAGTTGACTAAACCTTTTCTGCATCATAATCACTTCGAGCCTCTTCGCAATAAAGTTGATGATCAAGTGTACAAACAAGTCATAGTTGTTGGCAGTCATTGAGGGCTGGAGCCAAGCTGCATTTGTCTCAACAGCATGGAGAAGCCTCTGAACCCATGGATCATTAACTTCATTATCTGCATACTCTGCCTCAGATAGCTCATAACTGATAGTAGCTACACCGTCTAGCACTGGACGTATTTGAGGTGTCACAGTGGCCACTAGTTGTTCTAAACCAGCATTCAGGGCTTGCTTGAAAGTGTTGCTCAAATCACCCAACTCAGACAAACAAGACTTCACCCTCTCCCTTTCAGCTGGTGCAGGAAACACCTGCAGAGCATATATACAGCCTATTTAATGCTTTATAAACATGAAAACCTAGCGCCATTCATGAATATATGAAGAACTATGAAAAGTCTAAAACTAGATCATTAGAAGGAGCTTATCGTAGGCATAGCAGGAGTTGGAGCATGTATGTGGTATCCGCTTATAAGATAAAATGTATTACACAACATTAGAAAACATGTCATTGCATTACATCCAAAGATTAGAGAAGTTATTATGAAACATAGAAAAGAAATGACTCATAATCACTTCATAATCTCAAACTCAAATGTCAAATATGCTAATAGAAGAACACACTCCTTAATGGCATCCCAGTTACTTAGTCATCAATCATCATTAAGGAGAAACTATAACACAAAAAAATCCATAATCATTAAGGCTAGAACTAAGCTTGCACTGCTAGAAAGTACATACAGCTAGTAGAAATGGTGCACTACTAACCACACCCCATAGTTTAGAATTAGAAAGTTTGTTGCTATGAAGAAAAGGCAAATTATTATCTAACATTGCCAAACAAAATCTTTATATGCCCAATACCTACGCATTCAACAACCAACAACCCATGCACGTTTAGAAGTGACTAGTGAGTATATAATAGCAAAGCATAATTCTTCTTGTCATAAAGTAGTAGGAAGGATGATAATACCTCAGCACACGGCTCTTCAATTTCATGTTTTAGTTTCAGGACATACTCACTGCCCACATCCATGTTATTCAATGCCGTAGCAATCTCTGTCCCAGTCTTCTGCACGCCAACACAACCCAAAAACAACTTTGCACCAAGGTTTGGTTCTCTCATCTTCTGTTGCAAAGAATCGTGGTATTCATTATTCAACAAACTATGGCACCACTTAAGACTGCAACCACAGAACTGATATTTGAAGTTGAAATTGCCCTTCGTATGCAACTTTGCAGAACATAAAAGACATCATCCACCATTGAAGTAGTGAGGCTATCAGGAACATGCTCATCGATCATTGTTGCTTTCCTCACATTTTCCACCATAAAGAAACCCTCTAAAATCACATAAAACCCAGTAATATCTTGAACAACTTTGCTAAAGCTTCCACTCCTAAAAGCTTTTGTTGCTCTTGGTACTAACTCTGGATCCACAGAACTCAATCCCTTGATCTTTGACACCATATACTCTGTATAATCGTCACCCAATTGCATCAGTGACAAAATTTCCTCCAAATATAACTCAACCTCCCTTGGGTCTGGTCCTTCTTGTGTACCCACAGCCAGCAAATTCTTGTTTTGGGCATTGATCTCAGAGGCTAACCTGGCCAATCTTCTATACTCCATATACTTCTTCAAGATCAGAGAACCCCTTGAATCACACTCCTCTTGCAATTCACAAATGGAATAAACAATCCCATCGTCACCACAGAGACCCCTCAAAATCTCATCATTCTCCTCAATAGCCAACAATATCCTTAAACAAATTCGTCAAACATCCAACAAAATTCACCTGATTCTGTTCATGGACACCTGCTCCATTAACTCCACTAAATGCTCGTACTCAAGCCTTGACCTCATCCCAATCACCTTCTTCAAATACCCAACATAAACCTGCAATCCCTCCTCCTCCATGCCCAATGGCGAATAGAGCCGAATAAACCTCAAAATAGTAGGATGATCCCTCTGATCCACAGCTGCCAGCAACTTCTTTTTGACAATCCCTTCCAGTTGCTTCTTCGAAGTAAGCAACTGTTCTCTTTGTTCAGATCCAGAATCCTTAAACTTGCCACCGATCTGTAAGAAAGTCTGCACGTACTTTGCTGCGGACTCGTAATCCTCCGTCTCTAGCGCACTCCTCACTCCCTCGATGCAATTACCTCTTTCCACGATGGCGTCGATGCGGAGGAG